TAATACTATAAAAAACAAGGAGAAAATCTTAGCCCTTTTAGAAGCTAAATGGCTCCTCAAGGAAGAAGCTGTTATTCATTGCAGGGGATACCAGAAAGCAAACACTCCAGAAGCAGCAGAAAATCGCTTGGTTGACCAGGCCACTCGGGCCGCAATAAAACTTCCAGTTGAACCTTTAACTATCCTGCTAACTAAAACCTTTCCAGTTCCTTCTCTCCCGAAACAGCCTACTTATGCTCAGGAAAAAACAGCAAGCAAAACGAGAAGCGGTTTACAAAAATCCCACCAGATGATGAATCAAGGACTCCAAGATCATCCTGCCTAAAGTTCTCGGATACACTCTAGTAAAACAATTACATTCTACCACCAACTTGGGAGGTACTAAAATGACTGAACTGTTAAATCATATTTATCATATCAATGGTTTACAATACATGGCCACAAAAACAGCAGCCATGTGCCCGGCTTGTACTCAAGTTAATGCTAAACAGGGTCCGAAACCAACTATCGGCATCATGGCCTGAGAATTTAGCCCTGAAAAAAAATAGAAGGCAGACTTTACTAAAATAAAGCCTCCTCACGTGGGGTGCAACTATCTGCTAATGTTTATAAATACTTTTTTCTGGACGAATGGAAGCCTTTGCCACCAAAAAGGAAACCGCACTGACAGTTACCAGGTTTTTGTTAAAGGAAATTATTCCCAGGTTTGGGCTCCCCCTCTCTATTGGCTCTGATAACGGTTCTGCCTTTACCTCATCCATAGTCCAACTGGTTAGTAAAACACTAAACATCAACTGGAAATTATATTATGCTTACCAACCACAAAGCTCTGGACAGGTAAAATGCATAAACTGGACTAATTTACTTTGACCAAATTAATAATAGAGACTGGTGACAAATAGGTAAATCTTCTGCCTCTGGCCCTTCTCTGGGCTCAATGCACTCCTTATAAGACTGGGTTTACTCCATATGAAATCATATTTGGAAGACCCCTTCCTTTGTTACCCCAGTTATGGGACCCTATTCTTAAAAAATTACTAATCACCTGACCTCGGTGGCTCAGCCTGTAATCCCGTGCTTTGGGAGGCTGAGGTGAGTGGATTGCCGGAGCCCGAGGGTTTGAGACCCGCCTGGGCAACTTGGCAAGACCTCATCTCTACAATAAATCAAAAAATCAGCCGGGCGTGATAGCGCGTACCTGTAATTCCGGCTACTTGGAAGGCTGAGCGGAAGGATCGCTGGAGCCCAGCAGGTTGAGGTTGCGGTGGCCAGGTGCAGCCACTGCACTCCAGTCTGGGTGACAGAGTGAGACTCCAACTCAAAAAAAAAAAAAATTACTAATCAATCTCTTTTAAGGTATCTCCAGTCCCTCCAACAGGTCCAGGCTACTGTCCACTCCAGCGTCCATGACGTTTTGCCGACTCCATCATCCACACTGTGCCATCCTTTCAAGCCTGAAAACCTGGTCTATGTCAAAAAGTTCCAGAAAAAAGGATTGACCCCTGCCTGGAAGGGACCCTACGTTGTCCTTCTCACCACCCCAATGGCACTCAAAGTTGATGGGATACCAGCCTGGATTTATCACTCACAAGTCAAAGAGGCTAAAGACAACAACCAACAATAGACTGATATGCCTGAATCCAGACCTCTCAAGCTAAGACTTTCCCATTTTAATATTTCCTCCTAATCTGTTTCTTACCCCCCTTCTGGAACGCCGGCCTCCTGGTCTTTTTCCTATGTTAACTCATATATACCGTTTGCTTAATATCACCTGGCCATAATTAGCCTCAGACTGCTGACTTTGCTTAAAAGCAATCCCCCCCCCCCACTACATAAGCCTAGAAATCGAGGCTCCCATTGTCTCACCAAAAACATGCTGTCCCGTTCTTCGTGCCAGCCTTAATTGGGTTAAGCATAGCCGAAGCCAGGCTCGGTGGCTAGCCTATAATCCCGCGCCTTGGGAGGTTGAGGTGAGTAGATTGCCTAAGCCTGTGGGTTTGAGACCCGCCTGGGCAACATGGCAAGACCTCATCTCTACAATAATCAAAGAATTAGCCAGGCGTGGTAGCACCTACCTGTAGTTCCACCCACTTGGAAGGCTGAGGCGGAAGGATCGCCGGAGCCCAGCAGGTCAAGGCTGTGGTGACCAGGAGCGACCACTGCACTCCAGTCTGGGCGACAGAGTGAGACTCCAACTCAAAAAAAAAAAAAAAAAAGCATAGCCAGAACTGCAGCACTTAGCACCACAATTTTAGTTTGCAGAGAATTAGGCTGGGCCAACCTAGCACATAATATCAGTTCTAACCTAAAATATATGCAACCTGCGATAGACCAACTTCATAACCAGATTAATTCCTTAGCAAAAGTTGTCCTCCAGAATTATAAAGGTCTAAATTTGCTTTGTCTATCCCAAAGGTGCCTATATGCCACTCTCAGAGAAACTTGTTGTTTTTATGCAAACAAATCAAAAATTATCAAGGACACCCTCTGAAAAATTCAAGAAAATATAAACAGGCAACAAAAAGAAACTAGACAATAATAAATCTTGGTTCCCTCTCTGTCTAACTAGAACCTACGGTTAACAACTCTCATCACTAGTTTAGCAAGCCCTCCCATCCTCCTCTTCCTTGGTTTACTCCTAGGCCCTATGCATCCAATTAAATTATCCAGTTTAACAAAGAACACATTAACTCTGTAAAATTTATGTTTGTTAAAACCCACTATAGTCACTGTTAATTACTGATGAGTCAATGATTTAACTCATGCACAAGTAAAAGGAGGGAATGAAATGTCTGTAAAACCTATATGTCTGTATAACCTCCATAACCTGTAAAAGCTTGTTTGACATAAGTAATTCTGTTTTGTTAAAAGTTTCCATTTTAGTTGCATGCCTACTGCCCAGACGCAGCACTCAGATGCATCACCCAGCTGCAGCACCCAGAAGCAGCCTCCCTACCACGTGTAACTACAACTGTCCTTAGCCTCTAAGGTGTCACTTCTCCCCTTTTCTTGGAAATCCCCTACCCTCTACATCCTGTCAAGCAAACAGCAGCTGGCAACCCCAACCAAATTAAGCCAACATGTAGCTGCAAACTATTCCATCCCTGACTCTGACCCCCCTTAAAATGTAAGCTATGGTTTCTGTCTATAAAAGCCCTCTGCCTGCTTTACTCAGGGCTAAGAGTTCTTTGGACAATAGACCACTCTCAGTCACTGGCTATTAAAGGACTCAGGATCTAATCTTCTACGAGCTGACATTTTATTTCTTGCACTCCGGGCATAACAAAATAAAATATTTCCTACTTTAGTACTTTTCATTTTATAATTTTATGTGATGCAATTAAATTTTAACACAATAATATTTCATTCATTAACTCAACAAAAACCAACGTAATGCCTACTATGTACCAGGTACACCTTTATATGCTGCAGATATCACTTAGACCAAAAGAACCCAGAGTCCCTGTGTTCATGTGCCTTACAATCTAGAGGCTTCGCAAGAGTGACACAGAGCTAATGGAGTGTTTCAGTGAAGAAGTGACACAGCCTGATGCACACTGGCAGGACTGCTGACCACTGTGGGGAGAATCATCGTGGGCAGTAGTAGGTGAGGGAATAGTGCTAGTATCACAATTCAGTAATAACAGAGTTATGAGGTCTTAGGGGAGAAGAGGACATGAAGGATGAGAGAAACAGAGAAAAAGGCTGGCGAAGCAAAAGGTGAGGAAAAGGAGCAGAGGGGAAGAATTCTAAATCAGAATTCTCAGGAATTCTCAAGTTTAAAATACTGTTATGGATTTTTAATACATCTATCTACAGAGCCCAGCAGGGTGTTCTCTGCATTTGGTAATTAATAAATCTGTGGGATTGTCTAAAAACAAATGTCCTCCTTATATTAATCAGGTTCAGAAAAATACCAAGTGTCCTAATAAAGTATGCACACACCTCAGATGCAACTCATTCCAAAACACAGGCTGTCGAATGAGCACTAGCGAAGGGCATTTTGACTGTACTGAGCACTTGCAACTGAGGTGATTAGATTCTGTCCAGGCTCCTGGTTGCAACATATAGTAATAAATCATGCTTTTTTGTATCGAGGAAAGGACCTGTACTCACACACACAGAAACTCAGGGCTGTGGAATGAAGGTAATTTTTAAAATAACAACCCAGAATCACAGATACATAGGCTGGGAAAGTTAAACTTGGGAGCTTTGTAAGTGTAATTATAATATGTTTCCATTCATTTTTATATGAAGAGACTAAAATCACTTCTTTTACAGATTAGATTACAAACCATTTACGGATTACCAAAATTGTGCTACCCTCTGTAATTAATAAAAAGGATACTGGTCTCCATGAGAATCTCTATCTGGTGCATTTAGATATAATTTATCCAAGTTTAAAGAGAAAACCCTCCTCTACGCCTCCATTCCCAGAGAAGCTCACTCTGGCACCAGGTTCCCCAGGGTGAGTTTTCCTCTAGAAGAGTACAGGGGGAGAGGAAGGAGTAGAAGGAAGAGAGTTCAGGAAGAAGGATTCCAGGAGGAGAAATGAAGGGAAAGGGGCTGGGACCAGCCTGGGGAGCTCGCCCTCGTTTCCATAGACAGCTCCTGGGCCAGGACTCGGGGAGACAGTGTGACAAAGATCGCTCAGTATCAGAGGAGAGGGCTCAGGGCCAAGCCCCTGGTCCCCAGGAGTGGCTCTCAGGGTCTCAGGCCCCGAGGACGGTGTCTGGGTTGAGGAGGCCCAGCGTTGAGGATTCCCTAACCTCAGAGTTTCACTTCTCTCCCAAACTGTGTCGAATACTTCTTCCTGGATACTCATGACGCGGCCCCACTTCTCACTCCCACTGGTTGTCTGCTTTGTAGAGAAGCCAATCAGCGTCGCCGCGATTCCCGGTTATAAAGTCCCCAAGAGCCCCCACAGGGGCACAGGTTCTCCCCCGACCCCCAGAAGGCGGGGCATGGCACCCC